TGGGAGTGGAAGTGGTCTGAAAATAGTCATGTAGAAGATGCTATTAAACTCCCTAATTTTCTGTGTTCTTAAATGGTGCACATCTATTTGCTGGGTAAATTAAATTGGATATAACCCTTCCTCCCCCACCCTGCCCCGAGGTGCTTGGCAGCTGGAACTTGCTGGTACTGGAGTCAAAGTTTAGTCCTTAAATTACTGTAGATTGTCTTTCTCCCTGTTGCCCCATTTCAGGTTTCACGAGGTTTTATTGTATCCTATAATATTTATTTTTAGCCTTCCCTCCTTAAAAGATGTATATGTATGTGCCCATATGCTTTTTCTGTCAGCTCTGCAGGCTGTCTTCTGAAAGTCTTCTGCTGCTTCTTTAGTCTGTTTAGGGAAAAAATGTCATCCTGATCAGAGACACTGTGAGTTCCCTTGATGCTGTTGCAATAGGGAGAAGCCATTCCTAAAGCTGTGGACTAAATATGTAGCTTCTCCTCAGTACTCTCTCGTGTCTGGGTTTTCTTCCCATAAAAGTTTGTATAGTCCCTGTGAACATGGAAGACAGCAGGGAACATTTCAGAAATGCTTGTCTCATTTTCACACCTGCTCAGCTTTGTGCTGCCTTGTTTTTGGTATGGGGCAAGGGCTTCACTTTCCATCACTTCTCCTCGGGACAGGGCATCTCCCAGCAAAATGGCTCATAGCACTTAGTAATTCATAGCAGGTTCTTTACCTGCAAATGCTAGCAGTTGACCTCTAGAAGAAGGATATAAGTCACTTTTCTCTTTCAATAACATGTTGTCCTCAGTCTTAGTGGCTATGCCTGTGTTTTTTTTAGTATGGATGAAACAACAACTTTCGATTCTAAATGTGCCAATAATTGAAGTGTCTCTTCAGTTCAGGATTTTGCCTTCAAATGTGGAGACCTTCTGCAAAGTACTTCTTGAATTCCAGCTGCTTCTCCCAAATTTAGTTGCATTTCTGAAGTTGCAAACTGAAGTTTCTGTTACAGTCTCCAGTCCAAAGAGAGTTTGTTAAAAACCTCAAGCCTACCCAAAAACTCAGAACTCCGGAAACTTTGAGTCTGCATATGTAGAGCTGACTCAACTTCTTAAACATACTGAAGGCAAAGGTTTCCCCAAAATACTTTTTTGTTTGGAGACTATACCATCCTTTTCCCATTGGCTGTGCCTGGCTCTTTAGCACTAGGTAGCTGCTATCTGTGGATATGCGTTATCTGTGAGCAAGGATAATGCTGCGCCTTCGCCAGACTTCCTTTTCCTCTAACCACCATAAGCCTGAACTTGTTTTCTCCGTAGTCTCTCAGTTCGCATTCTGTCTCTGGTTTCTACCTCTTCCCCTGCTCCTATCTCCCCAACAGGGGTTCCTGCTTAATGTCCTGCTCCTGTCGACAGGACGGCCCACAAAGCTTTCTTTCTCTGCAGAGAAAGAGAGAAGGAAATCCTGGCCTCCTTCACCTCATCCCTCTTCCTTCCCCACTGCTTCTGTCCGCCTCTCTCTGTTTCCTCACCCACATCAAGAATCAATAGGTACTAAAGTATTCTAATCTTTCTTTAAAAAAAGTGTCCAGCTCCTAATTGGAAGAGAAGCTGCTGTTGTTGCTCCTGCTTGTGATTCTTCCTCAATCTGCCCTGCTCCTCCCTGCTTGGCTGGATGCTCTGCTGGCTCCCAGTTCCTCCATACCAGGCCCTGAAGGTCAGGGAGCAAAGCTGAAGTGAAGCCCTTTTTTTTTTTTTTTTTTTTTTTTTTTTTTTTTTTTTTTTTTTTTTTTTTTTTTTTTTTTTTTTTTTTTTTTTTTTTTTTTTTTTTTTTTTTTTTTTTTTTTTTTTTTTTTTTTTTTTTTTTTTTTTTTTTTTTTTTTTTTTTTTTTTTTTTTTTTTTTTTTTTTTTTTTTTTTTTTTTTTTTTTTTTTTTTTTTTTTTTTTTTTTTTTTTTTTTTTTTTTTTTTTTTTTTTTTTTTTTTTTTTTTTTTTTTTTTTTTTTTTTTTTTTTTTTTTTTTTTTTTTTTTTTTTTTTTTTTTTTTTTTTTTTTTTTTTTTTTTTTTTTTTTTTTTTTTTTTTTTTTTTTTTTTTTTTTTTTTTTTTTTTTTTTTTTTTTTTTTTTTTTTTTTTTTTTTTTTTTTTTTTTTTTTTTTTTTTTTTTTTTTTTTTTTTTTTTTTTTTTTTTTTTTTTTTTTTTTTTTTTTTTTTTTTTTTTTTTTTTTTTTTTTTTTTTTTTTTTTTTTTTTAACTTTCCAGACCTGATCCTGCAGCAGAGGGATTCTTGCACTGAGCCTTTAGGGGAGGGCAGCCAGTCTGGAGGAGGAGGAGTACCATCTGCTTTCCTCCTTGCTCTCCCTCTCAGTGAGACTGAATGAAGAGGCTGGGGAAGGAGAGCTCTGTCTATCGTTTGTATCAAAGGACACAGAAGGTAGTCTATGCTAGCTTATCTACTCTGAACCCAAATGCTCCTCTGACATGTACAGTGAATAAAACCAATTTTGTTGTAACAACATGAATCTACTGGAGTGTATAATGTATCTGTGGAGACACAGGAGAAATATTTACTGAGTTCATTACAGGCTTAATGAGCCAAGATTTAGAGAGCTGGAATACCAAATGTCTCCATTTTCTGGACACTACAAAGCAAAGCCAGAGCTCTGCATAGGAACTTTCATTTAATTAAACAATTTTATTTTTAAGCACTGCTTAGTGCTTCTACATTCCTGATGGCAGCATCAAGTAAGAGAGAGCTCTTTGAAATGTACAATCAGGTCCATAGCTAAAATTATTATGGGGCTACTAATAATGCTTTTGCTTGGCAGTTAGCAAGCAGTTTTACATATTCAGGTCTTGGATATGTTTCATGCATGTTCATGCTTCCGTCGTAGGTGAGGCAGACAATTCCCTTTCTAGGGATGAAGACAAAAGCTACATGTTGTCCAAACTACTGCAACAAGTTGGTGGTGAAGCTTGCCGAAAAACAGTAAGGTGCTTGGAGCTCTGGATGCAAAGTCCTTTGCATTCATGTGGTATGAGCTGTCTTGTTTCCTGTTTCCTTACCGCAGCAGCAGCATAGTTTATTGCAGAGAAAGCACTGTAGTAGCAGGTCAAACAATGTCTCTGAAGGTTTCCTCCTTGATCTGAGGCATCATGGATGGGGTTGCAGAAAAGTTGTACATAACACACTGGACTGTTCTTGAGTTTCCAGTTCAGTGTAAAACCTCTGAGTCGTGGTGCTCTGTCCTGGCTGCAGCAGGGAAGAGTATTAAACAGCCTGGCTGTGGCACAGATAACAACTGAGAACAGGGAAACAGGAAGGGCAGTCCTTTTACGGCTGAGGATGGCCAGGAGCTGGGAGAGATTGTCCACAGCTGCTATGAGCAGAGAGAATGGATGTACAGAAGCAGCTCTGGCTTTTGACTGGGAAAAGTTTCAGTCGTCGTTTTGGCCCGTATTCTCAATGCTGAAATCCAAATTCCTTCTCCTAAATAGTTGTTGTAGTTTCATTTCAAATGGTTTTGGGTTGGCTGGCAAAAGATGCCCACCCCTTTTTGGAAGGTGCATCCCCAGCTGTGTCTCTCAAAGCAATGCTTGGACAGGATGGCACACACGTGGTGTGTCGCTAGCCAGTAACGTGGCCCCACCGAGCTTTCTGCTTGGCGTCATGTCTATTTGTCTTCCTGGGCATGCCTTGTTCCAAGTGGAGTCACAGTTTATGTTCATGTGGAGTGCTACCAACTGGCACGTGAGCTTTCTCTCTGGTGCGCGCCACGCTCGACAGATTACTTTTCTAGGATCTCACAGCAGCAACATGGAATGAATACAACGGGGATCAAGGCCTACACTGTGGCAATTGTTTATACTATGTCTTAGAAGCGCATGGCCTTTTTGGGTCTTTGCCCTAAAGTACTTTCAGTGTGGGTGATGCTTATCAGACTTCTGCATCTCAGCTGCCTTGTGAACAGTCAGCAATGGATGAACTTGTTGGAAAGTAGCTACTGAATCCCCTGAGCAGTTTCCCTCTCTCCTCTCCCAACTCTCATGGACAGCCTTTAGCACTAAAACCCAGATGCTTCTCTGAATCTTGCTAAAACCATTTCCATGGCTCTGCTGTGGGGCAGTTGTGGTACAATCAAAAGACATGTTGCCTGCATCTGGAAAACAAGACCAGCAAATGCTGAGAGACTTTGCGTTGGAGAGGATGGTCACAGAATCCCTTGCCCAGCGCCGTCTGCCTCCAGTCGGCTAAGAGCTTCAGTACTGAAGTCAGGCCATAATTATGGCCATAATTGTTTCAAAACTCCTGTTAACTTCTGTGCTGACACTGAGGCTTGAGCATCAAAGGAGGATCTGATGGGGGCTATCAAGTGGCCACAGCCAATGACTTCTTTGGTTATTTTGGCTCAGGCTTAGTAAGTCAGAGCAATGTGGGAGCTGCTCTGGCACTTGATGAATAGCAGAGATCCCAGGAGCCTGCAGGGCAAAAGGGTAAAATAAACCTAAAGGCTCAGTTGTTCCAAGGGTCTACACTGTGTCATGTGTCTGAGAGGCTTCAGTTTGATGCTGTGGCCCAACAGGGTCATGATAACAGGCAGGTCTGTGCAGGTGAATTCCCGTTCAGTGTCGGACAATTGTCTCCTCCTCAGGGAGCCTGGACATGTAACTGCCTTTAGTTGCTGCAGAGACACAAAGGTGCTTGGTCAGGTATTAAGGGAAGAATCGACCTATTAGCTTTAAATTGAAAAATGATGGCTAGAAGTGAAAAAAAAAAAAGAATTGAGTTCTGCCTTTGGCTATGGAGATATCAGAAATTCAGGGCTTTCTTTTAGTCAGAGTGCTAGGGGAAAAAAACCACTGCAGTACCTCTCCTAATGGAGAACTACTGCTAAACGGAGAAAAGCTGACAGCAAATATTTACTCCCAGATCAATTTGGTTTAAAGTGCAATGTTTGTAGCGGAGCTTGGACACAGGAAGGTCAGGTGTGGTATCAAGGCTGTATTTATATAAAGACAGAGGAATACGCTCTGGAAACCACTACTTAGAAAGGGAAAAGACCAGGGGATTTTGATAGGCACACTATGAGGATCTTAATTTTTGTCTTTACACTGAGCATTTTCTCATGTTCAGGTAAGTTGCTCAGAACGGAACCATATCGTATTTCTTATGATTTAAGGGAAAAAAGTGCAAGACCAAACTAACTTTTAATGGAATTGTGTGTCTGTCTCAGGGATTCCAGTGTATGACTATGAACTGCCTGTCACAGAAGAGGCTCTCAATGCTTCCATTGCAAGAATCAATTCTCAGTCACGGGGGCCAAACTTGTACGGTGTTGTCAGGAGCCATGTTAGAAGTGTAAGTTCACAGGCAACTCAGATACTTTATCTGAAATTTGCTTTCCTTTGGTGGAAAATTGTTTTCCATTCAATCTGGGAAACCTCGATTTATTTAGAGTTTTCTGACGTTTCTTGGAAGAGGGTGGATTTTGGGCTTTATCCAAAGCTATGACTTTAGAAACCTGAATTTTCCCTGTGTGTTGTTTTTTCATTAATAACATGTTAGGAGTTCAAACTTTGCACTCCCAAAATAGAAATTTCTAAGGGAGGTCTCACAGGAGTTTGTTCAAAACTTTATTCAGAAAAGAGCTGGTACTTTCAAATATCTCCAGCTAACTGCTTTATGTTTTGGGCATAAGGCCACCTAGTTCATCTGAAGGTCTCAGCTGAACGTCTGCACTGCTAATTAGATGCCACCGCAAACACAGTCAGGATTCTTTCTTCAATTTGTCTCTACACACCAGTTATGGATTAAATCTACGAGTGTCTAAATGCAATCAGGAAACTCCCGTCTGTTTTAACTTGTGTTGCTAAAAATTATATTGAATTCCCAGAGCTAAGGGGTTAAAACTTCATAATTTAAAGTTGGCATGTCTATGTTCCTGAGAATTGGTCTGTTTCTATAGGTGGCATATACCAAGTCCTCTGCAAGCAGGAATTTTTTTTGGAAAAACTTCTACTTGAAAGCAATTACTGAAAGACGTGTTTTTGTTTGATTCTCCGTTACTGAGCTAAAACATTAATTAGACTGTGAGACTAAGAAAAGAAGATCCTAATGTGCCAACAAAAGTAGCCAAACTGTCTAAAGCTTGCAGTGTGGCGTGCACACTTCCTACTGAGGCACCTGAGCTGACTGATAAGGAGTGACTCTTTAAGCTGTGTTAATTCAATTGTTTGCAATCTTCTGATTTACCTCCAAAGTCATGTGTTTGCAATATACTTCCCAGCAGTCTGGCTATCCAAAGCAGAGCTGTTAGCATCCTGATTTTCACAGAAAAGCTGGGAGCAGCAGGAGTGCTGGCTTGCTGTTGCCTTGGTGGGCAGCAGCATGCAGGGGTGTTGCTACATGCACTTACCTCTGATGGCTGCAGTCTTGAAAATCAACTTGAGCAGCAGGAGGCTGTGCAAAGGACTGTGGTATTTCATCTGAAACACTTGTGGAAAGCTGCTCTACGTTGCTGTTACCAAATCTGCTTAAGAGAACAAAACGTGATATATTTTGTTTTTCTTACAGACGTGCAATAAGAAAACATCCTTTCTCACGCCACGGTAATCTGCTCTAAATTTGACACTGACCCCCTAATGCCGTAATGTCTTGGTTCTGCTTGACAAAGAAGCAAGATTGCCGTGAAGTGAACACAGAAGACTAGCAGGCACTGATTATATATTTTGTGGCTCTTCCTTTTACCAGGTTGACATGTGGAACAGCAATGATTACAAACTAGTGCTGCAGTTCAGTATCCGTGAAACCGTATGCACAAAAGTTTCAGGGAGAGACCCATTCACATGTGATTTCAAAATAGGGCCTTTTGTGGTAAGTGCATTTGTGCCCTTGGATGGGGGAAGAGGGAGGGTACAAAAAAACCCTTAGTACAGGCTGTTCTCACGACATGTTGAAATATGGTGCTGATGAATGATTAGACTCCTGAAAACCCAAACAAACCCAAACAAATGTAACCTGCAGTAAGGACCAAGTGTTACGTGGGGAGTGGCAGTGCTTGGAAACTCTTCAGGCTGACCTATGAGGAGTATGGGACCTGCTCTTTGAGCTGAAAAGAAAGCACGTGTGTCTTGGAGCAGCATCTAGTAAAGTATCTGTGTGCTTTGGGACCAACTCCTAGAAGGAAGGTATGGTTTCTTTCCAAGATAAGAGAGGGGGAGGAAATTGAAGTTTGATCTACTTCTGTCTATCATCTATCCAGGTAAGGAATAAGAAGCCAGGAAAGCGGGATATAAGCTGTGTGAGGGGACCTGGGGCACAGAACTCTGCTGGTTATCAGTTTCAGCTGAGTATCAAAGGCTAGCTGAAGCCTAAATCCAGTCTGACTGTGTTTTTCCTGGTAGGCTTGAACAGCGAGTGCATCCATTTATGGACTTGTTGAGAATTTGCTATAACTCTGAAAAGAGAGCAGAGCTCACTTGGCAGTGCATGCTCTCCCCATCTAGGTGTCCCTGAAGTCAACAGTTGCTTTACTGTTGGCTTTGACTCCTCTCGGATGAGATTGTGAAGGTACCATGTAAAGGCTTATTTTCTTATTGAGTGCAGACCCCCACTTCACTGACAGCTGACAGTGCTAATCTTTTCTATCAGATTTTCAACTCTGTTTTCAGCTTGAAATAAACACAGCTCAGGCTTTTGATATAGCTCTTGCTGGAACTGTTAGATGACCAGCTTCAGTGTCAATACATCAGCCTTGAATCTGATCTTCTCTGTGCTTGATTATTTTTAACAAAACATGGCTTCTCTTGCAAACTTCTGAGTGGTTATGTCCTAACTTGTTGCATAAAACCAGCAAAGCGTTTGGAGTAGCTCCTGAGTCCCTGTATCCAATAATGACATACTGTACCATGTCCTGTATTATGTTACTCAGACTTCTAGAAGTCTGTGGTTCTTTGTGCTGCTGCTGGCTAAGTTCTTCTCACATATCTTCCTTCTGCGAATGGCAGCCAAATGTATCTGTCCTTCCCGGGCGCACAGTTTAGGGAAAAGGCAGGAATCTGGGAAAGCGCTGAAGAATGGGATCTCGGAATAGATGGTGCAGAAGTTTTCCTAATAGCTAACAAATCATGCTGCTCCCTCAGGAGGTAGTTTATCCCATAAAAAGCCAATTGGGTCTCATTGGGTACTGCTGCCCTTGAGCTAAGCAGCTGGTATGTGTAGATGGGACAATGCTCAACTGATGGTTCTTGCTGGTTTTCTTTCAAAACACAAAGGTTGGCTGCAGTGAAGTTATCACTGTATCCTACACAGATAACATTCTGCAGGTCCTTCCAAACTGTGGGAAATGAATCAGATTTACCTGATTTAATGAGTGAAGGCCTGAACTGGTTCACTTTGGTGTGTATGTTGCATATATTCATATAGATGGGGAAATCTCTAGTTTAGGCACCATAGATTTCTTGTTGGGAAGATAGACCCCTTGTCCCTCCTGTTGGTGCAATGGGGTATGAATGACAGGATAGGGATATCCATTTTCTAAGTTTGGGTGCAAGTTTGGCTCAAGCTTCCACCCATTCATGAAGGCAACTTCTTTGAAGGTGGTTTCACTTCTAGAGTTGGAGCTGCCATCAGCATAGCCCTGCACAGCTCTTCTGTTCATGGTAGGTAATGCCAGAGGCATAGAAAGGATTTGTAAATTTTCTTCTACCTCTAGCAGGCTCCAGGCTTCATATAGTTAATATGCAACTGTGGAGCAATAACTTGTGGCTATGGTAAAGTGGAGTTGTATGCCACCAAAGTATACTGTTCTGGCCTCAGGCTGCTCCAAGAATTAGTTTTAGGGGTACAGCCTTGAGTTTTTTTTCCTTTTGGAAGCTGATTAATAAATCCTTGTACAGATGTTTTCCCCTTAGAGAAACGCCAGGAGGGGGATTGCACTGTAGGCTTGCTCCATCAGTTTTGTCCTATTTTGATCTATTACAGCCAACTGCTTTCTGCAGAAGTGTTGTGGTAGTCTCTGAAGAGCAGATCGTGAACATGGTTGTCCAGTGCCATCAGGACATGTCCAGCTCGGAATCGATAAGCAGTGAGGAGGTAAGGAAGGGGACAACCTGTTTTTGCTGCCTGGGAGAAAAAAAAAAAATCTGCTCATCCTCTTTTGAAAAGAGGTTGGGTAAATATGTGTAAAGGCAGGATCTGTAACTAGCTTTGACCATGCATATTGAAATCCTGAATATCGATACAAGGGTTTTTTTTTTTTCACCTCAGTTGATAGTGTTCCTGTTTTATTGGTGAAGAAATTGAGGCATGGCGGGGCATGGAATTTGCCCTTGATTAATCACTAGGCCACAGTTCCTCCCCTCCAAACGTAATGGTCACTTCAAAGTTGAAATACCTTTCTGCTCACTGCCATATTGCCAGAGGGCTCTCCATCCTAGCTGTGGCTCATCTGATGGTCTCCTTTTTCTTTCCTTACTCAAATGTCTAGCAGCCTTCTTGACCTGTGCTGTTTGTGCTGCAGAAGCTCCTGCCGTCTCTTTTAGTTGCAGTTGGAGATTTTGAATGGAAAACTGTGTGTTTTGAAATCCAGCTGTCTCCTGTCATGCTGTACTTTTCATCGGTTGCTTGATGGCTGCCTTGGG